AGCTCGTAGAGGCTCAAAAACAATCAGTTTCCATAGGTTTCTTTTTCGCTCCTTTTTTGGCATTCCAGGGGCCGCTCAGCCAAAACGAAGCCCACTTTTATGGTTCATGGGCAAGGCCCTACAAAGTGCAATAAACCGTTTCGAAAAAGCGGGGCACGCCCTGAACGACCTCCCTTGTCAGCGTTACTGAGAGCCCTCAGCCTTCGATGTCTTCCCAGTCAGTCTGATGACGTCTTGCTCAATTTCTTGGTCTGCACTATCATTTCTACGATGTATATTTGTAAGTACAAGTATTCGCGAGAATTTAAACTGTCATCTTGGGAGCTCTCCTTTGGGCAGTTTTTTTTGTCCTGGATTATAACACCGCTCCTTCCCAACACTGTCGGTGTCCCGGTCTCTATTAATCGTGGAATTGTGACACATTTTCAGTGCTATCACCGGCACGTACAGAGAGTAGGCTCTGATGTGACAACTGCATGATTTCCAGTATGCTCTGATCACTTTCTTGGAGGCAGTGGATGTGTTTTCCAAGGTAAAATTTCCGGAGACACAAGACTCAAGCTGCTCGCAAGGCGCTCATGAGTAAATCGGCATAATCTCCACGCTTCTATACAGATTTGCCTTCCTTATGAAAAAGGTAGCCCCATGTACCACCATGTCTATCAACTTTTTTCTAATTATTCCTCTGAGGAAACACTGTCAATCGGCAAAGCGCAGCATGTCCGCCAAAGTTTGTACAACTGCACTTGCCTCTATTACGAACAGTTCGCAGCAGTTTGGTGAACGCGCTAGCCTACAGCAGCAGCTCAAAATTTGCGACAGGGGCTGGTCGCGCACCCGCGGCAACCCACCTTTCTTTAAGGCAATAACTTCGTCAATGGAAGCCATTTCAACAGACCGACAAGTCCGCGAGTCGCAGTGGAAAGGGGACTCTCATTTTAAACTCCTGCTGATGATTCATGTAATTCCTTGGCCGCGTTTCTTCTATTGAATAAGGGTACTGTAATGCTCTCTAGTTGGAACGCGATATCATCCACATTTGCCGTACCTCATTGCAAAAAAAAATTATGTGCTTCGATGGGCGGACCGACTCTTACTAAATGTCGCAAGCATACACATAAGACCCGGATGTAGACAATCACAAACACAAGAAATGCAAGCGTGAGTCAACGATATGTGAGCTTATCGACCACCCTACATTACCTGTTTGTCGCAGACAGGATTACCATGGTTTTTCTACACGCCACCCTGTGTCACTAGTGCTTCGTTGCATAAGAATGTCCACCTGTCCCTTGTGAGTTTGCTAGGCCCTCTCCGAAAAGTTTGCTCTTCAGAAACACGCATCGCCCTAAAACTGATGTGCTTAAAGAACCATCTGCCAAATATATATTACAGTGCAATCGCTCACGTTCCCTTCTACGAGGAGAGAAACGAGTGTGTCTTACTTCGTATGGATCATCAGTTTCGCTTCTTGGTGTACTTACACTGTAGGAATGGTCGCCGCAGCAGCAACATTTGTTCACTATGTTTCTCCTCAAGCGATAGGTGAGAAATACGAGTTGTTATGTAACTACAGGAGGGGGGGGGTACAATAAGTCACTTTTCTTCCTTGACTTTCGAGGCGCTATAAGTTACACTTATCAAATTCTGATCGGACATTTCTACCACCATATTCAACAGCATATTAAATACTATTATGATACTCCGCCACAGCCTTCTGGAGGAGCGCCATCGAGAGATTCTGCCACGCGACTGTGTCCGAGTTCAGCGAGATCGTTGATTTCTCCGCCACTGTAGACCACCCTGTTGAGCTCCGCCCGAACCGGGTAATCGAGGGGGTTTAGGTCAGGTGACACACTTGAATTCCGTCTTCTTCAGGTACTCAACGCCCTTCCATTCCAAGTAGGCGAGAGTTTTTCCAACGCCCTTCGATTCCATGTGGTGGCACCTGAACCTGTAGCAGTACAAAGTTTCCAAGTTGGTACGGGCGACTACTGTAGGGAGGATATTCTTCTCTTAGTTTTTTGATTTAAGCGCCAGCCTCACTTCAGTCCGGGTCCAGAAGAAATATCGCGTTTTCCATTCTATTAGGTTGGCTAATAAGTAATGGCCGTTTTTTTCAATTGAAAAATTTGTTCGAAAGTGAAACGTTTTGCAAGCAAGTTATATATCATCTGATAGGAAACTTCTCGTAGTATAAGAATATCAAAAAAGCTTTGGTTGAGGATATAGTTTTTGTGAATTTTTTAGTCGTTGAAGTTGGAAGTGAAGTCGGCGAAAATTAGCATCTTCGACAACTGCCTCTATTTACGTCTACTCGAAGTGCTAAAATCGCTTAAGCTGCTCCATACATTCGGAAAAGGTTGAGGTAGAAGTCTCAGCAAGGGAATCTCAATAGGACGCTTTGGAACTAATTTCAAGAATTTCAAAGTTGGCAACCTTCACCTTGCCAATATTGGGCAGGCTCACGTCTGTTCCACCTGAAATTTCATGCTAATAGTTGAATTAATTGAATTTGAATTTGATTCTAATACTACGAGAAGTTTGCTATTAAACGATATTAAGCTTGCTTGCAAAACGTTTTCACTTTTGAACAAATTCGATTGAAAAAAAACGCCATTACTTATTAGCCAGCCCACTGCTAGTGGGCTGGCTAATAAGTAATGGCCGTTTTTTCAATTGAAAAATTTGTTTCAAAAGTGAAAAGTTTTGCAAGCAAGCTTAACATCGTTTAATAGCAAACTTCTCGTAGTATTAGAATATCAAATTCAAATTCAATTAATTCAACTATTAGCATGAAATTTCTAAATAGAGGCAGTTGTCGAAGATGCTAATTTTCGCCGACTTCACTTCCAACTTCAACGACTAAAAAATTCACAAAAACTATATCCTCAACCAAAGCTTTTTTGATATTCTTATACTACGAGAAGTTTCCTATCAGATGATATATAACTTGCTTGCAAAACGTTTCACTTTTCGAACAAATTTTTCAATTGAAAAAACGCCATTACTTATTAGCCAACCTAATAGTTACGTGCGGTCCTTAACATCAACCCGCTCCTTGGCGACTGTGGTGAAGATGATGTCCTAGACCGTGCCGACGTTGTCGGAACTGCTCGATGTAGGAGGTCTTCCAGATCGAGAGTGCTGGTCTCCAGGTAGCTATCCATGGGTGACTCCATACTAGAAGTTTCGCAGCTGTTTGGAGGTGTCATGAATTCCAAAGGTCTCTCGAGTCAGGCTGCTGCTGGAGATGACTTCATATTTTGGTGTACATGAAGGTGATGAGCAAGAGCCTGCTTCGGCTCATCGAGACATCTTGGGTATTTTCCGCCCTGGTTCGGGCTGCCAAAAAACTCGCTTGATACTTGACTGGCTAAGGACTTTTTGCCTCCCCCCCCCTCCCTCTCTGTATATAGCGGAGGATAATTAGCTGGATAGGTGAACAGGGTCGCAGAAGTTTGCGCCACACAACAACGCACACCTTGAGGGTTTAAAGTTTTTTTGACGAGGGAATATTAGGTCATCCCATTTCAAACGTGCCGCTGGTTTTTTTTTGAATAAAACAAAGAGGAGAATAAATAGAAAAGTGATATTTTAGCTTTAGGATGAGTAAATCCCTCCTTCACCAATGACCCGCTCCAGTGCCCCGAGGGCCTTTGGACCTCTGGTACCTTCGATTTTTCAATAAGTGTGGGTAAATTGCTGTTGTTGCCAATTTCGGCAAATGACAAAACATTAATAGCGTATAGTAATGTAGCGTCTGCCGTCGGAGAGTACTCTCAAATGAATAGAACAGTTGTAATCGCATGGCTTTATGACGGGCGAATGGGGCGATTGAACCCAGGTCTCAGTATTGTTTGTGTCCCAGCACTGATCTACAATACAGTTACTCGGGGTCTGGTACTATGACGAGCAACGGTGGCCTTCTTGTAGTTGTGTGGTAGCATCCATTTGTCGATCTGAATGCCGAGGAACAGGCAATATGCACCGACAGTGACGGATTTTCTCCTATAGAGCGCTTGAAAGCCACAGTGTGGGAATCCTTTGCTATGATGATCATCCACTTGCGCCCACGTAACTCTTCATGGTAGAACTCGGGCGGCTTCTCATCTGCATTCATACATCGACATTGTGAGTATTCGGCTCGAGGTCCCAAGACACCACCCATGTGTCATCTAAAGGCCGTTTTACAGTTGTAAGTGACATCTCATGCTGAGAAACATTACTGCTAGAGGTATAGAATCGGTACTGCGTTCGTGCTTCTATAAGAAAATTAGGTACCCATGCGCCACCCTCTTGACCATCCTCAGTTTATCGGACATAACTCGGGCAGCAGTTGCAGCTGGGATGTCAGACTCGCGGGGAAGCTCGACAAGGGTCCAGGCTCTGTGATCAGATATTCAGTGCCTGACTTCATCCACCCTTTTTTCTTGTGCAGGATGAATATTATGGGACCATCCACGACAACAAATTTTTTCCTTTCTTCCTTGTACGGGCTCCTGAACCAAATCTTCCACCGTGTATTTCGAGAACACCCTTACACACAACTATGGTCCGGCGCAGGTCAAATTTGAGCAGCGCACTTTCCTCTTATGACGTCTGATTTGAAAAACCGGCGCCGATTTTCACCACTCGGGCTTCTTTTCAATTTCTCGAGAACTTCTTCTGGGGCTAGGTTCGCCAAATTTCACAGATACACAGCTTAAGGTACTAGCTTCCAAATGGTATAGTAGCCCGCTGCTCTATCCCCTTTGCTTTTCTGCCATTCCTCTATATGTAGCGGCACGTTTGAATGGGATGACCTAATAGTTGTAAAGTGGTTCAGAAGCTGCAAGGCAACCTACTGGAACATGAAACAGTAACATCCGAGAAAGTAAAAGTGCATAATTGTTATACACTACCAGGGGAGAACAATGACCACTTTTGAATTACATGATGTCATGCTTGCAACAATTTAATGAAAATAAGCACCGAATGCAGGATCTGGTATACCCGAAATGAAAACCATCATTCGTGGAGTGATTCTCAAGGACTATTTGACGTTCCGAACACTGGTCTCAAAAGTTTTCGGCATTGCTATGTGTATCGGCAGCGGAGTTCCGATAGGTAAAATGGTTAGTTTTCAATGTATCTCCTGGAAAAGTTCAAGATGTTCTTCTTATGGTTGTCTTTCTTCTAGGGTCCTTTCGTGCACATTGCCTCAGCGGCAGCAAACGAACTCTCGCGGCTAGCATCACGATTCGATCCGGCCTTCAAAAATGAAGCAAGAAAAGCCGAGTGTCTTGCAGCTGCGTGTGCTGTTGGGGTTGCATGCACGTTCAGTGCACCAATCGGAGGTGTACATTTAGTCGTTCTAGAAGCGTCCTTTGCGCTTATGCTCTAATCTTGAACCAGATATGATGCTAGCGTCCTGCAGAACAATTTTTACTCCAAGTTTCAAAGTACAGTGCGTAACAAAAGTATGTGGACATCCTCAAATTTTTGTCCTGCAAATTGCCTTTGAATTTTGCGATATGAGACCTTACTGTTGAATTCCTCATAAGCGAAAACATAGGAATACACTACTTTGAGCACTTTGTGAACTACTGTACAATTATTGTTTTGAACTTTCTTGAATAACAAAAGTATGTGGACCCTTAACAAAAAACAAAAGTATCGTGATAAATTAGAAGCTGGTAAAACATTCTGCCTGTTATGCTGTGGACAACATTTAAGATGGTATCTTTGTCGACTTCCTCCCATGCAGCAGCTACCTTCAGGCCTCACACGCTGTTGTACTGCCTACTATTCATGTAGATTCGTTATAAAGGGTCAGACTTTCAAGTACGGCTGCTTAAATGGTATGTAAAACCTGTAATAATTGAATAGCACTGATTCATGGAGTGTTCCCATTTAAAATGTGCCCATAAATGGCAGTTATCGAATGCATACTTACGCACAGACATATTTGAAACGCGAAAACAGCAAAACATAAAAAATGCAAAAACTCGCACGCCGAGGGGAGTTGAACCATCAACCCCACCCCAACTGTCCGCTTGAGAATCCTTCACGCTATCCACTAGGCCATCCGATCGTTGATGCTGAACGTTCCTCCGATCCGCTTCACGCTTGATTACGTGCCACAAGTAAGACCCCATACCCCGACTACTTTTCTCTTCGATTCCGATAGCACCTTTATAGGGTCCCTCCATTCAGCAACTGGTCAAAGTTTCAAGCGGTTTACAGCTCGTAGAGGCTCAAAAACAATCAGTTTCTATAGGTTTCTTTTCGCTCCTTTTTTTGGCATTCAGGGCGCACAGCAAAACGAAGCTCTTTACTGGTCCATGGAAGGCCCTACAAGTGCCCACGAAACCGTTTCGAAAAAGCGGGGCACGCCCTGAGCGACCTCCCTTGTCAGCGTTGACTGAGAGCCCTCAGCCTTCGATGTCTTCCCAGTCAGTCTGATGACGTCTTGCTCAATTTCTTGGTCTGCACTATCATTTCTACGATGTATATTTGTAAGTACAAGTATTCGCGAGAATTTAAACTGTCATCTTGGGAGCTCTCCTTTGGGCAGTTTTTTTTTGTCCTGGATTATAACACCGCTCCTTCCCAACACTGTCGGTGTCCCGGTCTCTATTAATCGTGGAATTGTGACACATTTTCAGTGCTATCACCGGCACGTACAGAGAGTAGGCTCTGATCATGTGACAACTGCATGATTTCCAGTATGCTCTGATCACTTTCTTGGAGGCAGTGGATGTGTTTTCCAAGGTAAAATTTCCGGAGACACAAGACTCAAGCTGCTCGCAAGGCGCTCATGATAAATCGGCATAATCTCCACGCTTCTATACAGATTTGCCTTCCTTATGAAAAAGGTAGCCCCATGTACCACCATGTCTATCAACTTTTTTCTAATTATTCCTCTGAGGAAACACTGTCAATCGGCAAAGAGCGCCCAGGCATGCGCAACAGTTTGCTTACAAACTGCACTTGCCTCTATTACGAACAGTTCGCAGCAGTTTGGTGAACGCGCTAGCCTACAGCAGCAGCTCAAAATTTGCGACAGGGGCTGGTCGCGCACCCGCGGCAACCCACCTTTCTTTAAGGCAATAACTTCGTCAATGGAAGCCATTTCAACAGACCGACAAGTCCGCGAGTCGCAGTGGAAAGGGGACTCTCATTTTAAACTCCTGCTGATGATTCATGTAATTCCTTGGCCGCGTTTCTTCTATTGAATAAGGGTACTGTAATGCTCTCTAGTTGGAACGCGATATCATCCACATTTGCCGTACCTCATTGCAAAAAAAAATTATGTGCTTCGATGGGCGGACCGACTCTTACTAAATGTCGCAAGCATACACATAAGACCCGGATGTAGACAATCACAAAAACACAATAAATGCAAGCGTGAGTCAACGATATGTGAGCTTATCGACCACCCTACATTACCTGTTTGTCGCAGACAGGATTACCATGGTTTTTCTACACGCCACCCTGTGTCACTAGTGCTTCGTTGCATAAGAATGTCCACCTGTCCCTTGTGAGTTTGCTAGGCCCTCTCCGAAAAGTTTGCTCTTCAGAAACACGCATCGCCCTAAAACTGATGTGCTTAAAGAACCATCTGCCAAATATATATTACAGTGCAATCGCTCACGTTCCCTTCTACGAGGAGAGAAACGAGTGTGTCTTACTTCGTATGGATCATCAGTTTCGCTTCTTGGTGTACTTACACTGTAGGAATGGTCGCCGCAGCAGCAACATTTGTTCACTATGTTTCTCCTCAAGCGATAGGTGAGAAATACGAGTTGTTATGTAACTACAGGAGGGGGGTACAATAAGTCACTTTTCTTCCTGATTTTCGAGGCGCTATAAATTACACTTATCAAATTCTGATCGGACATTTCTATCACTATGTTCAACAGCATATTGAATACAATTACAATACTCAGTCAGTCACAGCCTTATGCAAATGAGCGCCATCGAGAGATCTTCCGCGCGACTGTGTCTGAGTCAGCCGATGTCCTTGATTTCCCTAGCTGTCGATGCACCTCTTGAGCTCCTCCCGAACTGGTAATCAAGGGGATCATTAGGTCAGGCGACACACTTGAATTCCGTGTTTTGAGGTACTTAACTCCCTTCCATTCCAAGTAGGCGAGAGTTTTTCCAACGCCTCTCGATTCCACGTGGTGGCACGTGGACCTTTAGCTGTACAAAGTTTCCAAGTTGGGACGGGCGACTACTGTAGGGAGGATATTCTTCTGTAGTTTTTTGATTTAAGCGCCAGCCTCACTTCAGTCCGGGTCCAGAAGAAATATCGCGTTTTCCATTCTATTAGGTTGGCTAATAAGTAATGGCCGTTTTTTTCAATTGAAAAATTTGTTCGAAAGTGAAACGTTTTGCAAGCAAGTTATATATCATCTGATAGGAAACTTCTCGTAGTATAAGAATATCAAAAAAGCTTTGGTTGAGGATATAGTTTTTGTGAATTTTTTAGTCGTTGAAGTTGGAAGTGAAGTCGGCGAAAATTAGCATCTTCGACAACTGCCTCTATTTACGTCTACTCGAAGTGCTAAAATCGCTTAAGCTGCTCCATACATTCGGAAAAGGTTGAGGTAGAAGTCTCAGCAAGGGAATCTCAATAGGACGCTTTGGAACTAATTTCAAGAATTTCAAAGTTGGCAACCTTCACCTTGCCAATATTGGGCAGGCTCACGTCTGTTCCACCTGAAATTTCATGCTAATAGTTGAATTAATTGAATTTGAATTTGATTCTAATACTACGAGAAGTTTGCTATTAAACGATATTAAGCTTGCTTGCAAAACGTTTTCACTTTTGAACAAATTCGATTGAAAAAAAACGCCATTACTTATTAGCCAGCCCACTGCTAGTGGGCTGGCTAATAAGTAATGGCCGTTTTTTCAATTGAAAAATTTGTTTCAAAAGTGAAAAGTTTTGCAAGCAAGCTTAACATCGTTTAATAGCAAACTTCTCGTAGTATTAGAATATCAAATTCAAATTCAATTAATTCAACTATTAGCATGAAATTTCTAAATAGAGGCAGTTGTCGAAGATGCTAATTTTCGCCGACTTCACTTCCAACTTCAACGACTAAAAAATTCACAAAAACTATATCCTCAACCAAAGCTTTTTTGATATTCTTATACTACGAGAAGTTTCCTATCAGATGATATATAACTTGCTTGCAAAACGTTTCACTTTTCGAACAAATTTTTCAATTGAAAAAACGGCCATTACTTATTAGCCAACCTAATAGTACGGGCGGTCCTTCAACGATCAACCCGCCTCCTTGGCCGCACTTAGTGATGAGATGACTGTCCGTAGACCGTGCCGACGACGTTGCCGAGAGCTGCTCGATGTTGGAGGTTCAGATCGAGAGTACTGGTCTCCAGGTAGCTATCCATGGGTGACTCCATACTAGAAGTTTCGCAGCTGTTTGGAGGTGACATGAATTCCAAAGGTCTCTCCAGTCAGGCTGCGCTGGAGATGACTTCATATTTTGGTGTACATGAAGGTGATGAGCAAGAGCCTGCTTCGGCTCATCGAGAACATCTGCGGCTATTTTCGCGCCCTGTATTCGGGCGCGAAAAAACTCGCTGAGAGTACTGCTGGCTAAGTGACTTTTTTGCCCCCCCCCTCCCTCTCTGGTATATAGCGGAGGATAATTAGCTGGATAGGTGAACAGGGTCGCAGAAGTTTGCGCCACACAACAACGCACACCTTGAGGGTTTAAAGTTTTTTTGACGAGGGAATATTAGGTCATCCCATTTCAACCGTGCGGCTGGTTTTTTTCTTAATAAAACAAAGAGGAGAATAAAAATGATAATTGTTAGCTTTAGGATGAGTAAATCCCTCCTTCACCAATGACCCGCTCCCAGTGCCCCGAGGGCCTTTGGACCTCTGGTACCTTCGATTTTTCAATAAGTGTGCGATAAGTTATTCCAATCTTTCCTCTGATGTGCCAAGTTCTCGACAAAGTGACAATAAGCTATAGAATGTAGCGTCTGCTAGTTGGAGAGTACTCTTCAAATGACATAGAACGGTTGTAATCGCACTCTGGCATTATATGACGGAGCGGAATGGGGGCGATGTTGCAATCTCAGTAGGCAGTTCGGTCGGATTTCTGGTCCCACACTGTTCTACAATACAGTGTACTCGAGGTCTGGTACTATGAGGAGCACACAGTGGCCTTCTATGTAGCTTGTGTGTGTAGGCATTCCTAATGTTGTCGATCTCAATGCCGAGGGACAGGGCAATAGTGCACGACATTCGGACGGCTTTTTCTCTTATAGAGCGCCTTGAAAGCCACAGTGTAGGGAATCCCTGTTGCTTGATGATCATCTCACTTGCGCCCACGTACACTCTTTATCGGTAAACTCGGCACGACGGGCGGCTTCTCATCTGCCATTGCATCACAAAATGACCATTTGTGAGTTTCGGCTCGATGGTCCCAAGACACCACCATCATTTCATCTAAGGCGTCGTTTCACAGTTGGATGACATCTAATGCTGATAATCACATTCTAAGGCACACGAATAGGACTACTGCGTTCGTGCTCTTACAAGAAAATTAGGTACCCATGCGCCACCCTCTTGACCATCCTCAGTTTATCGGACATAACTCGGGCAGCAGTTGCAGCTGGGATGTCAGACTCGCGGGGAAGCTCGACAAGGGTCCAGGCTCTGTGATCAGATATTCAGTGCCTGACTTCATCCACCCTTTTTTCTTGTGCAGGATGAATATTATGGGACCATCCACGACAACAAATTTTTTCCTTTCTTCCTTGTACGGGCTCCTGAACCAAATCTTCCACCGTGTATTTCGAGAACACCCTTACACACAACTATGGTCCGGCGCAGGTCAAATTTGAGCAGCGCACTTTCCTCTTATGACGTCTGATTTGAAAAACCGGCCGATTTTCACCACTCGGGCTTCTTTTCAATTTCTGCGCAGAACTTCTTTCTGGGGACTAGGTTCGCCAAATTTCACAGATACACAGCTTAAGGTACTAGCTTCCAAATGGTATAGTAGCCCGCTGCTCTATCCCCTTTGCTTTTCTGCCATTCCTCTATATGTAGCGGCACGTTTGAATGGGATGACCTAATAGTTGTAAAGTGGTTCAGAAGCTGCAAGGCAACCTACTGGAACATGAAACAGTAACACGGGTAAAGTGCATAATTGTTATATACTACCAGGGGGAGAACGATGACCACTTTTGAATTACATGATGTCATGCTTGCAACAATTTAATGAAAATAAGCACCGAATGCAGGATCTGGTATACCCGAAATGAAAACCATCATTCGTGGAGTGATTCTCAAGGACTATTTGACGTTCCGAACACTGGTCTCAAAAGTTTTCGGCATTGCTATGTGTATCGGCAGCGGAGTTCCGATAGGGTAAAACTGGTCAGTTTATGTATCTCCTGGCAGAAGTTCAAGGATGTCTCTTCTTATAAGTGTCTTTCTCTCAGCGTCCTTTCCGCTGCAACATGTGCCTCAGCGCCCAGCAAACGAAACTCTCGCGCTAGCATTCACATTCGATCCTGCCTTCAAAAATGAAGCAAGAAAAGCCGAGTGTCTTGCAGCTGCGTGTGCTGTTGGGGTTGCGTGCACGTTCAGTGCACCAATCGGAGGTGTACATTTGTCGTTCTAGAACGTCCTTTCGCGACTGGATGCTATAATCTTAAACCAGATATGATGCTAGCGTCCTGCAGAACAATTTTTACTCCAAGTTTCAAAGTACAGTGCGTAACAAGAGTAAGTGGACATCTCAAATTTTTGTTCTGCGAAATCACCTTTGGATTTTGCGATATGAGACCTGTACTATTGAATTCCTCATAAGCGAAAACATAGGAGTACACTCTTTGAGCACTTTGTGAACTAGTGTACAATTATTTATTGTTTTGAACTTTCTTGATAACAAAAGTATGTGGACCCTTAACAAAAAAACAAAAGTATCGTGAAAATTAGAAGCTGGTATTCCTTCCAGCGTTCACTATTACTTCAAACATTCTGCCTGTTATGCTGTGGACACCATTTAAGATGGTATCTTTGTCGACTTCCTCCCATGCAGCAGCTACCTTCAGGCCTCACACGCTGT